GATACCAGACAAACCCTGAGAAATGACAGGCAGTCATTTGTGAGTGCAGCTGTACTGGTGAGGCTTCAATAGCAAATAAGCCGGACATTATTTAGTCAGAATCAGAGGTGGAAAAACTGCAACACACATTGCAAGCAAGCACAGATTTGGAAGCAAAGTAAGACTTAACAGCAAGAGGGATAGGCAGAACCATGTATTTATTCAGCTTCTTCAAAATGAATATTAGGTGGAAACCAAGAGCCTCTGGGAAAATGGAAAAAGAGGTACATCAGCCAGGAAGGTTAGTTTAGAGGTCACAAAAGGATTAAGACAGTTGACAACAGTCAAGCTGAAGTATATCTTGCAAAGGGAATTTAAGGGTAAAGAGGAAGTATGCTTCAGCAATAGAAACAGAAAGAAACTAAGGAAACAAGGGGGGTGTTGTCCAATAAGGGTGAGGTGGAGACAAAATTATGATTGAAATCTGATTTCAGCATATTAAGGCTTTTACAATACCTTTATTTATATATTTATATTTTCTTTTTGAGCTGGAATATGAAATAAAAATAGTCATAGTACGATTTTATTGAAATGTACATGCCTCTAATCTGGTATTTGTAACAGGAATCTGGAGAAGATATATCTCTACCATCATGGAAATTTAGGTAGCTGTAAGTATCAATTTTATGTGTGTGTACAGGAGAGGCAGAAATATGTAACAAAAACTAGATAATGTCACTGACTGTCAACAGTCATTGAGCCAATGAGAAGCCAGAGATCCTGTACGTGCCAAGGCCCGAGGGCTTAGTTTGATATACTCCCTGAAAGAGGGGAGTAATGCTGCAAGAAAGTGAGATGGTCAAGGGAGTAAAAAAATGTGTTCCTTGCACTCATTTGTTGGGTGTTGAATTTACATATCCAGTCCTAATTTCATACAGGAATGTTGTTGTGAAGTGGGCTACCAGGTTTTTAAACAAGTCAGCAGAGTGGCAAATGCATTTTTTAAATGAAGAAATTGTTCCCCTCTATGTCTAAAACATGCTTATGAACATCTCCCAAATTGTTCTTCATAATGTCTTGCTTTCATTTAATATAGAAATTTATACAGGCATTCTACTCTAATAGTTTTCCAAATCACCTACCCTTCCTCAGGAATAAATCATGTTCATTCATGCTGCATAGGGTGGCTTTCTAAGCTTTAGTTTCCAGCCTTCTTCGCTTATCTTCTGTCCCTCCAGCCTTCTTCCTGCACTGTCCCTCTCTGAGGCATCTTGTTTCCTGCTGATTTATTTTTTTTCCATTTCATTGAGCTTAAGATAGCTGTGACCAAATTATTACATTTTGGCAATAGCCTTTGGTCATTGTTCACCCTAGCAGCAGTTCCCAGACTCCCTGTAGAAGTCCGGTCCATGGCGTGCCATGGAAACAGACTTGGTATATTGCCAACTTGATACTAATAATTGCTGACATGATTCAGTAATAAGATACTGAATAATTTGAACTGTACCTATTCAAATTCCACTACATAGGAATTTAGCTAAAAATTGGTTCTTCCCAGCAGCCATGGGTATTGTTATGTAGCCATCATAAACATTTTAAAGGACTGTTGACAGGCACCTGGAAATAAAACAGTAAGCTTTGGTAGACATATGTATGGTACAGTTAAAAACGCCTTTGGTTTCCATTTAGATGAAAATGGTATTTTAACTGGAAAGGTTGTGCATGAGTGCTTTGAACACTAATTTCTATTCAATAAAACGTCTCTGTTCACATTATATTTTTAGTATTTCAGGATTCTGGTGACAGCATATAGTATAAAAGTAAATTTTAATTTATTTCCCACTTGAGAATTTGAGATGGAAATATTTCTATTGTTTTTCATTTCGGTATGTTAGATTTGTTTATAATAATATAAAGTATAAAAAGTTGTTTTGTTCCTATCTTTTGTTTTATGAATTGTAAAAAAGAAAATATTTGCTTGGATATGTACTGTATCACCAAGTGCTATAGCAAAATTTAGTGACTTATCTTTATAATAAATATACTAACTATGAATTTGATGTTTAATGTGTCGGAAGAATTCTAAACTAATACAAATCCCACAAGTTCTAAAGAACAACCCATTTGTAAAGTCAAGAAATCATCTTTCATAGTGAATGGTTGTATTGACAAGAAGGTTCCATTGAAATTTATCTTTGTTTAAATCTAGTTTGATCCAATTAATTAAATTTAGTTAATTTTAGTTAATTTAATTTAAGTTCTCCATAGGATCCTTTGATATTTGTATATTGAGACCTAGTGATTATCAGTAAGTATTTTGCAGTCTGCATTCTGATTTTCCAATAGGCAGTACCATGTAAAAAGTTTTAAGCCATAGACAAGTGAAAATTGTAATTCTTTTAAAAATTATTTTAAGATATTAACTTGATTTCAGGAGTCAAACATTCCTAAGTTTAGTACACACTGTTTTTCTTTATTATTTAATATTACATGTTGAGAAGGTATCTAACTAGTCCTCTTTGATATAATAATGAAAATGTAATAGACTTTATACATACGTTCATAACAGAATGTTGAAATTCTACCTGTGTGGAATGACAGGAAGCTGTTTGATCTCTATTTGATTCATTACAAGATTTTAGAGCATTTCTTCCTTTTGGTGTAATATTTTCCAGGAGGCATACATTTATTAAGAAAATGTATAGATTATTTACGTAGGTATAGAAAAATAGTATATGTTAATATACCTATTCTTGAAAATTTTGTTGAAAATACTATCATAGTTATGTAAACTGAAAAGGTTTCAATATTGCTTGATCTTATTTTGGTGAACAAGACATGTTTTGAGATGTAAGATAATTAAAATAAAAACTTAGTTTATTGCTTATTGCTGTTTTATATTGCAGTCAGTTGGATGAGACATCTTTTACATTGATGAAATGTTCAACACAGATTCCCAGTGTGTCATATTTGTTAATATGTGTTTGTGCTTAGTAATTTTAGTTTTTATTCTTGTTTATATTAATAATTTTATTATTTTTATTAACAGAAAATAATTTTGAAAGTATGAAAGAGTAAAAAGCAAGGCAAAGCATTAAACTACTGCCTAAAATATAATTTTGAGCTTAAACCACCAATTTTATATTGTTAATTAAAGACTGAAGATCTGTAATTTAAAAGGTGTATAATACTACCACAGTTGCTTTCATGCCCAGTTAAATGTAATAAGTAGTTTTGTTAAATACTGTGCTTGTTTTACAGTGTGTTTTTAAGGTGACTTCAGATTTACTGCTGGGAAAATCTTTAATGTTTAAAGTAAATTGTTCTATCAGGGAGTTTTTGATGTCCAATAGGGGCAAAAGAATATGATAAACAAAATAAATTCCCTAAGGCAAACATACTTCATTACCTCATTTATGGATCAGTATGCCCAGTTTAAAAAAAGGTGGTTGCTCTGGAGCAATTCACATGGCAGAAAATCTTGTGATGTTTGAACTGAACTAATAATTAAGCTAAGCAACAACAAACTGACAGAGTAACAGTAGGAAAAGAAAAAAAAACCAACATATTGGTCTTAGTTCTTCTATAAAATTAAAAGAAATTGGTTGTTTCCAGTACAAGTCTATTTGATTATCTTTGCAAGACTTGCAACTTGATTTCCCACCTTTACACTTTCCAGTTAAGAAAAGGAGCAATTTGTATCCAGTATTTCTAGATTGCTTACTTTGGACTTTATCTTCACAAATTTATTAAAACATAAGCTGATCATACTGCTTTAAGAAGTAACATATATTGTTTGTATTCAAGCTTCTTTGTATGATACAAAATTACAGTACATTATGCTACTGTATTTGCCATAATGAGCTACACATGCATGACTTGAATGAATATTAATTAATACTGTAAACTCTGTTAAACTGTTAACTCTGGCCTAATACTCAAGTTAGAGTGATAAGTAGGGAGTGCTACGTTACCAGTTCTGACCAGCACTGTTTGGGAATTTTTTAATTATAAATTGCTACTCCTGCAGGAATTTGAGAAAATCACATCTCATTGGCTGCTTCTGTTGAAACGTTGGGTTTCCTTTGTGCAGAGATCCTGAAAGAACCATGCTAAATGCTCTTTCAGGAGTTATTGCCTTGCAAAGAAACAAGATAACTCTAGTCAGCCTGCTAGTATCATGGCATAACAGAAAATACCTTGTAGAGACTTAATCATCTGGAATATCAGTATTGGATTTGATTATTTAAAGGAGATATTTCTGTGTCAAGTGTTTTGTATTTTTTTGATCTGTGCTTAAGAAGTGGGATTTTTTTCTTCCTTACCTACATATATTCTTGAAAGATTGCTATTTCCTTTTACCTTAGTGAAATCCTTTTGATCCTGTTGGTTCTAAGATTTGTTACTGAATTGTAGATTAAAATATAACAGGTAGAAATTAAATTTTACTCTAATAGTAAGGATAAATTTGTACCTCTGAATGTAATCAATGAGAACACTTCTAATAGATTGAGAAAGTGTTTTAATTTGTTCATTTAATGTTTTATCTGGGAGGAATATCAATCTCTGTTATGTTTAATCTATTTTTTACTTCGTAACATGTTAAGTGTATATATGACATTTATGAAATGAAATGGTCAATAAAATCATGTCATTAGGTACAATACCATTTGAAAAAAGTACCCTTTTCCCATAATAAACTATTAATTATTGCATTCAGCAATTAAAAACTGATTCTGCTGAAAGTCAAGGTACAAGTTAGAATTAGCTAAATTGATGTTCTGGGTATTTACTCATAAAATGTTTTGTTGAAAAACACCACTTACCTTTCTTTAAAGATTAATAATTCTCCAATTAGGTAATAACTTGCAATAAAGCCATTTAGAACTGGGAAATTTATGTCATTATGGTTTGCTTAGCGTAAGAACATAGTCTAAATGTGAAGATTTTTAATAACTACAAAATAAACACTTTAGAAAAATATTTGCACTAAGGGTTTTCTTGTTGTTGTTGTTCTGCAGTCTCAGTTTGAACTCAGGGTATTCGATATTCGTGGAGAACATGCTGAATTAACTGCTCAGCTTGAGGAAACCATTGCACATCTGAAAAATGAACTTGATAATAAATTGAACAGAAGAAATGAAAAAGCAAAGGATATTGGTGTTTCTACTGAAGATAATAACCCACCAAAGACATACCGAAACGTATGTATACAGACTGACAGAGAAACTTTCATAAAGCCTAGTGAAGAAGAAAACAGAGCTGTGAAAAATAACCAAATAGTACCCAAAAAGCTTAATATTTCTTCTTTGTCACATAGTATTTCTGCCCAAAGTGAAAATAAGGATAATTACAATGTACAGTCTTCAGAAAGTGTCTTATCTTGTCCACCAAAACAAATGCTGCCTCCTCCACCACCACCACCTCCACCACCACCTCCTCCTCCTCCTCCTCCCCTTCCTGATTCTTCACTGCCAGGTCTAGTTCCTCAACCACCACCTTTGCCAATGGATCCGGCTTCACTGACATCTCAGTTGGGATCTGGTCCACTATTGCCACCTCCGCTTTCTGAAGGCTGTGGGAGTTTTCAGGCGCCACCACCACCACCACCGCTTCCAGGGTTGGGACCTCCTGTTCCTCCTCCACTGCCTGGATCTGGATTGCCTCCACCTCCTCCACCACCTGGGCCTGGGTTCTTTTTTAATAGCACTTTATCTTCAAACCAAGGACCTCGGAAGCCTGCCATTGAACCGAGCCGTCCCATGAAGCCTTTGTATTGGACACGGATACAATTACAAGACAGCAGGTAAAATACATTTATTTGGACTTAGAGTTGTTATTTATAGGCCATGATACAAGAGTATGTATACTATTTAAGACTTAATAACAAAAAGTTAACAGTCTAGGAGTCTAGGAATGTGTAACAAAATCAGTGTAGAGGCATGGAATTTACATGTTTTAAGAAAAAAAAAAGAATCCGTTCTAGAAGTCTAAAAATAGATCATAAGAAATTATCTTAAAATATCACATAAAAATTAAAATTATATGCATTATAAATGAAAATTATGTGCATTATGACAAAAAGAAATTTTGTAGTTTTCTTCCCATAAGTCCAAGTACTACATAGACAACTCTAGTGACAAGGTGGTTTCTAGGCTAAAGAGTAAAAAGGTAGTGAAGATGTTAGGAAGTTTTTGTTTGTTTTTTTTTTTCAAATAATCTTAATTAGAATTGAAATGTTAAAGTTTGGTCAGGTGAGAACTTAAGAGTTTCATTTTTGCTTTCCAGTCACTTCAGGTGGTACCATCTTCAGAGCACTATGTTGTGTCATTGTCAGAACTTAAGCTCTATGTATAATTCTGTCAGAGCAGAAAAATTAAAGCTTATATATAAATATAAGCAGTTCAGGAACCTGTGGCCTAAAGCATCCATTATGGAGAAATCTCAGTACTGACAGAGACCTATATAATTTCAAAAAATAAATATAAAAATTTTTAAAAGTACTAATCTGATTGTGATTTAGTGCTGGTATAAAACACTAGATACACTGAGGGAAGGGGTGCTATACAGAGGGACCTTGACAGGCTGGAGGAGTGGGCCCATGCAAAAACATAATTAAGTTCAACAAGGCCAAGTGCAAGGTTGTGCACCTGAGTAGGGGCAATCCTTAATATCAAGACTAAGGGATGAATGGATTGAGAGCAGCCCTGCAGAGAAGAACTTGGGGATACTGGTTGATGAAAAATTGGACATGAGATGGCAAAGTGAGCTTAAAGTCCAGAAAGCCAACCATATCTTGGGCTGTATTAAAAGAAACATGGCCAGCAGGTGAAGGGAAGTGATTCTCTCCCTCTAATCTGCTGTTGTTGGATGTCACCTGGAGTCTCATCTCACGTGGAGACCATCCAGCTCTGGGGCCCCCAAATACAAGAAAGACATAGACCTGTTGAAGCAGCTCCAGAGGAGGACCATGAAAACAATCAGAGGGCTGCAGTACCTCTCCTGTGAGGACAGGCTGAGAGAATTGGGGTTCTTCAGCCTGGAGAAGAAGGGCATCTTATTATGGCTTTTCAATATATAAAGGGGGCTTATGAGAACAATGGAGAAAGAGTTTTTACCAAGGCCAGTAGTGACAGGACAAGGGGATATAGTTTTAAACTGAAAGGAGGTAGATTTAGATTTCATAATTGGATGTAAGGAAGGAATTTTTTACAACAAGGTTGGTGAGATTCTGGAACAGGTTGCCCGGAGAAGCTGTAATTACCTCATCATTGGAAGTCTTCAAGGTCAGGTTGGATGGAATTTTGAGGTCTTGTGAAACATGTCCCTGCCTGAGGGGGCAGGACTAGATAATCTTTAAACATCCCTTCTGACCCAACCGTTCTGTGATTCCATGAAAGTAGTCTAATACTATATACTGTTGTAGCAAATCCAAAGATACTATGAAATATATTGTTTTATGGATTTGTTTTTAAGGGATCATTTGGTTAACAGACATAAATGAACAATTTTTGGACAGTTTTTCTTAAATGTTCCCACAAGTTTTTTTTTATGCTATCCATTCGTTCAGCCAGCAGGAGAAAATAAGTACTCTTATTTACGCTTTCTGGGACAGCAAGCATGCCTTACTGCCACAGGGGTATGTGGTGTCAGTGCTGCTCAGCTGCTCATTTGGATTTTGGCCAATTCTAACTTTGCTTTAAGTGTGTGTTAATGGAACATAGAGCGCCATTAAGAGAGTTGGCTCAAAAAGTAATTTTGGGGGATACTTAAGCAGCACAGACCATTTCTAGTTTAACAAGAAGTTGCTAAAATCATGAATTAAAAATCCAGGTCCTATGTTAACGCAGCTAAAGAAATGATGTGATTATTTGGGTCTTAAAATTCAAATCATTGTGATCTGTGTTCAAAATTATTTTAGCATAAGTGCATTTACAAAGATCCTAAGTTTATTTATAAAAATTAAAGACATTATAATATTATATATGACTTATAGTCATAACATAATAATATATATGCTATACTGTATATACACAATTACATACTGTGTTATATTGTATATAGTGACTATATTATTACATATTTTATCAATATATTAGGAATTATATTACACATTATTATAGATTATTATACTATTATAAGAAGTCACTATAAATTAGTCTTTTAAGTATTGCAAATTATTTACGATAATTCTTAAATTAATATCTTTTTAAGTTATTTTAAGGATTATATCTAAACACTGCTAAAGTAAATATCTGCATTTAAATGTATTTAAATATGAATTTTATTTTAGTTTACAGCTTTTAATCTGAATTTATTTTGATGAGAAAGAATCATTATTCTCATATAATAAAGCATTGTGAGGTGACAATAAAATATTTTACAGGAACAAACAATTAATGAAATGTCAGTTATATTCTTTCAATGATTCAGAATTAAAGGCATTGAAGTATTTTGGAGCAGCAATTTTGAGCACTTTGGTTTTACTTTCCCAAAATTACTAGTGAAAAACTGTTTTGTAGTGAATGAATAGTTGGTCCATAAATAAACTATATTCTAATTCTTCCTATCAATTCACTGAAATAAAAATGTTTGTTCTGAAATATTGCTGGTTTGTTGAACTTTTGCTGAATGCAAGATATGGTTGAAGTCATAGCTTTCTGGTGAACTGCTGGTCACCAGATGTGATAGTCCAGCATTTTCATGGTCTGCACTAGACCTGGAAACTTCTTCAAGGGTCTGCTGCTCAGATCAAGAGCTATCCAGGTCTTCGAAGTTCTTGTTACAGATCCAGAAAGAATCCTTCATTCTTCAGTGTAGCTGATACTATGGCTGATCTCAGAGAGCTGTGGATCTGTGAGAAGCGTGTCCTGTGACAGAATATGCTGCATCAGCAGATGCTAATAGAAAAATTAGCGTTCCTTAAACGTTTATGATAATATATGTACGATTGAGTATTAAATAGAAAAAAAACCCTAAATTTGAAAAAAATGAATTAATTTTAGTTCCCCTTAAATTGGTAGGTATTTTAATTTTTTTGCATATTAGATATAATAAAAGTTTAGTGACATCAGCCATTTGCATTTTATAGAGGTTTTCCTCACTTTTTTTAAACTGCATATAATTTGACTGCCTTTTAGTGACATCTGCTGGAAGAAGTTGGCCCACCTTCTACTGATAGACAGGAAGAGCACTCAGAATTTTGTCTCACATATTTTCCTAAGTTTTGAAATTTTGCAACAAAGCTCATTCAGAACTGAAGTTCCCTGTTTGCAACACTACATAGGATTTTCCCCAAATCCCAGTAAAACTAGAGAATTGTGTAAACAAGTTCCAAAGTGTTCCAAAACTAAATCTGGTCTTGGAAGGCAAAAAAAGAAGGAAAGATAATCCACATTTGAAATTTACAGTCAGTTGAATGGAGCGGAATACTGGTTAATCTCCCAAAATATAGGCCACATAATTACCCTTGTTTCTCAGAACTGCAACAAAAATAAATATGAGCATACAACATCTGCAACTAACATGAAGTGAATCAAGTCCTGTACAAATGACCCAAATGCTCTTGAAACATGCTTGAATAAAGTTTGTTTGCTATTTGTTGATATTGTTTATTTTTATAGGTCTAATTTGATTACTTGGAATTTCTCAAAAAAGCTGCTGTTGAAATACTCCTAATCCTAGCTGAAGTGCCAGAAATCTCTTGAGATGTATTTGCACACGCTGCAGTTGTAATATTTGGTTGTTGCACAAAATACTGTACAATACAAAGAATTCATTTTGATAGGCTAGCAGGCACGGATACTAAATAGCTACATTTTTGGTACAGTCTTCTGCAAAACATTTTGACTCCTTACAAGAACAAGTTATAGGAAAGGAAAGCTGTTTCTATAGCAGCAGTGCATGTTGCTTTGAGTTTTACATCTATGGATTTTCATCCGTTGTGGCTAGATGTGTATTATGATTTTTCATAAATGTTAATTGGAGATTTTATTATTACCTTTCCCTTTATAGAAAAACTGCTATGCCAACATTATGGGAATCACTAGAAGAACCTAATATATTCGATACTACTGAGTTTGAATATTTATTCTCCAAAGACACCACTCAGGAAAAAAGAAAACCACTATCAGAGACTTATGAAAAAAAAACCAAGGCCAAAAAGGTATTTGTTATTTCTTTGTGTTTGCTTTTTCATGTGTTGCTGTTTAGTTTTACATTTTAAGAAAACTCCTGTTTTATTTATTGTTGAATGAACAGTTAATAGATGGGTTTGTAAATTTCATTTTAAAGCAAAATAGGTGGATTGCTGATTCAACTCTTACTTGAGAATTCAGGGTTATTGTTTACCTTGGAAGATTTCTTGCCTTTGAAAATGAAAGTTCTCCATCCCAGTGAGGTAGAAAATACATTGTATAGGAGAACTGAATTGGAAGTTCTAATATGAATCTAAAAATGCCAATATTTCAGGCCATGTCTGCCCTTGAACTGATTTATAGTTGAAGATTGTCATTAAGTTATTCTAGCAAACCTCTCTTCCATTGAGATTATTTTACTGGAAAAATAAAGTATAAAGCAAGATAGAAATGTTAAACATTTTGAATAAGGAATACCAAAACACCTTTTTTCCAGTATAGCTAAAGAGCTGTGTCAGGAAGGGGACAGGAAAATCATGCCTTTAATGGCCAAAAGTTTATGCAGCATCCATGTCATTAGCGTAATGCAGGTATTGTCTGCCTCAGACATGGTCCGTTACAGAGAGAGATTGTACTTGTCAGTTACTGTGTGCAGAGAGAACAAAAAAATGGCATCAGTTGCATTTGTTGCAGGAAATATTCTAGGCTGAATAATAATCGATACTCTTTTCCTGAAACCATGTGGTTATATATCATTTAAATATATACTGTATCATAAATCAGGTTGAGTTTACCTGATTGGAACCACAAGAGGGCACTTTGTATGTAAGCTATGCTATCTAAATTTACAATTTTGTAATGCATATAATGTGAAATATACGTACATAGACATATATCATCACAATCAGATCTTTTAAAACATCTTGGATCATAAACTTCCTGTATTATGTCTTAGTGCAACAGTTATTAAGAAGTGTAAATAAGGCTATAGAATTTATAAAACTCAAACTCATGTGATGCAAAAAGTGAAAAATGAAAAATGAGGTCAGGATGGGGGCATGCACCGTAAAGAAATGCTTAGCTGTTAAAGTCCTTCAAATGTTAGATTGAAGTTAGACATGAACCTCTCTGTGAAAACTATTTTTACATATTTTACTTGACAAATGCTTCAAGTCTATATGTCACGTAGAACTCAGCTGTATCTGTAAATCCCATTAGTTCCTATTTCTGATGCCCTTTTTCTAAAATCTGTTTTTACAGTTCATTAATTTACCTCTTTCGGACAGAATTTTTTATTAGGAAATAAAAGTTTGTAAAGAACTTTGAAGAAGAATGTAACTAATGTATCTTTAATGGAGAAATAATATGCACAAGTAGTTGTCTTTGTATTTCCAAATCTCAGCAATTAAGTGAATATACCTATTTCTCCAGGTGTATGACAGCAAACCAGGTAGAGAATTAGACCTGTATTCTGAAAGATGAAATCTCACTATTCTTTTTCCTTGCTGCTTTGTAATCTAACTTATTTGCTAAAGTAGCACAATTTTTAATGCTATCTCTTTATTCACAATTGAATTGGATAATAGTTACTCTATACAATATATGAAATAATGGTATAAGTACTGTTTCTTGTGAGAAATCAATGTGTTTTCTTACAAAGAGATCTTTATGTCAGTTTTTGAATTGTTCTGTTTTGTTATTAGATTTAAATCTGTTATTTTAAGACTAGGGGTATATTTACGGAAATTAATGAAATAAAAAAGTTCTGGACTGTGTAAAAATACAAAACCCAAGTCCCCTAAGAGATAAATTGAGTTGTTTTTGTTACTGTCTCTTTAGTTTAGTAAAACTCATGGGATTATGATCATGGTGTTACAAACCATGGGAATTGTAGGGCTTTCTGGGAAAATTTTAAAAAGTCATCGTCAATAATATTCAACTTTCTATCATTTGGCCAATTTAAAAATTAAAAATAAATCAGCTTTTAGAATTAAAATGAAATTTGAATTTAATTGAGTTTAGAAGCATTTTCTTATTTTACGTTCAAGTCTTTCCACCTTTCTCTGTTAAATAACTCCTATTAGCAGCTGACTATTTTTACATACAGCTGGTCCTCTTATATGGTCCTGTGGGGTTTTTTTGTCTCTCTGAAAACCCAGATGTCTGCAGGTGGGCTCCAATGGATCAATCTTGGTGGGCTGCAAGCAATACAGTAGCAGGGAGGCATTTTATTTAGTTACAGGAGGGTTTATTAGTAGATAGTAACAGAAAGCACCTGCAGATTAATGTAGCACTATCAGTTCTGCTGGCTTCATTTCCTCTTTCTCATGCTTTTTCTCAGCTCTCAACTTTTTTGGCCTTTTTCCAAACAATTGTATTTATCTGCTAGGGTTTAACAACAATCTTGTTCTTTGCTTCAGTAGAGGAATTTGTGCTCAAGAATGCTACTGGTGTCACAGTGTATGGAATTGTATAGTCTGGTCAAAGATGCTTTCTACAGACGTTAAGAAAGATGTATGAATCTTCTGAGTTTCATCGTATATTATTTTTAGCCAATGCTGTGTCATCTTGTATATCTTTGTAAATTCCTTTTTCATATTCTATAAAAAAGCCTTCCAGAGCAAGATGCAGGTACAGTGGTAGAATCTGTAGTAGTAGTTTATGTGTGCAATAGGTAAGCTATTTTATTTAATAATACATGTTAGTGCTGACCTGTTCACTGCATTATACCTCGTCTCTGATCAAACTTTGTCCTATTTCATATGATCTTATACAACCTAAGTTATGATCTTATACAAACTAAGTTTGGCCTGCTTGGTATTTAAAGAAATAACAGACCAATAGGTGGTGCAGGATTGCTTGTTAAAACATGATTACTTAATACTTTTCTCCTTTAATGAGAATTACATCAGTGCCTCACAATCAAGTTCCATATGCTATTGGAAGTAAGATTCTATCCAATTCTATTCCAATTATAGAGGAATTGTTTCTCATTTAGCTGAATCTTCCTTATAAAACTGAGGAGACTTTAACAATTAGTGGCCTGTTAAATTATGACTTCTTTACCATCTATTTACATTTCTCTTTCAGTTCCAAATAAAATAATGTTTTCCAATTTATTCTCAAAATTATTGTTTTTGTGAGACCAGTCAGAATAATCCGTATGCTTAGTGTGTGAAATTAATACTGCGAAAAGCATCACATTAAGACTATACAAATTTCACTTTGTTCTCTTCTTACTCATTTGTCCACATAGTAGACACCTTATGGCAACACAGATAAAAATATTCACGCTTTTGTTACTTACAGCTGATAGGCATCTACCATTTTCAGCCAGAAATATTTAAATCTTGTCCTACATAAATGGAACAGATGGTCTGTTTTCCAGTGCCATTTGGAAAGTTATGCTCAGAAGGGAAAATCCTGAGTATATATTTATGTATGTATACTCATACATATTCTGAGTATATATTTATGTATGTATACTCATATGTATAAAATGTACATACAATATAATATATACTTTATAAAATATATATTTATAATACAGAATATATTTATACTCATACATATACTCAGTGTCACAATAGGAGACTACATTGAGGATTCTGTGGGCATCTATGCTGGGTCTGGTTACCTCAGTATTTTCACTTATGACCTGGATAATGGAATATTAACTCTGCAGCTACCACGTAGTTGCAAGAGGCTTCAAATGTACTTGAGTAAACCCTTTAGAAATCTTTAATGTATCAGAGATATGGTCTGAAAGATAGGGATGAGTAATAGAGTTAAGCACAAATACAGTTAACGATATTCAGCTTGAGGTACAGTAAGATGAGGTATGTTAAGCTTGAGGTATTAAGATGAGGTACAACTAGCACTGACTAGGTAATGGTTTAGCAGAAAGGATCTTGGGATTATAATGGCTCATGAGGAACATGAATTGTCAAATCATGGTGATACTACAGAGGGATAACAAAACTCTGATATATCAATAGAAGTATTGCTTGCAAGACAATCTACTCAGCCATGTCTCAGTTCTAAGAATTTCATCTAGAGTTAGACCCTTCATTAAAAATGTTTACTAACTGTAAAGAATCAAGAATGAAAATGATGAAAAGTGTAAAAGTAGTCTCTGAGAAAAGATTTGAATTATTATGATTGTTTAGTCTATAAAAGAGAAGGTTGATATTGTTATCAAGTGCATGCAGCTGCTGAAAAACGAAAGAAAAAAAAAAGCTTTCTAAGAGTAAGGATACCAAAGGAGCACAGAAGAATGTTGGCTAGGGAAATTGTGTTTCTGCATATATAATTGTTACTATCTTGAAATGCAGAAATGCTTTGGATGACATTTTGAGTGCCTTTCCAACATCATGACTCTGTCACTCCATTAAAGGCATAAAGTCCACTTTGTGTCCATTGTCCTGTGGATGGAAACAGCTGGCTATCCTTTTTTTCCAGAGTGGAAGCACTTTCATGATTCCCAAATTCATTACTTTCATGCCTGCCAGAAAACGGCTTATTAATTGAATTACACTAAGTTTCTAGAGGCTATCATCCTGTCATGAGGATGTAATTACTAGAATCTGAAATGCAGCTATTAAAAAATAAGCTATTCTAACAAGTATGTGGGAAAAAAAGGAAGGGAAGTTAATAGCCTTCCAGCAGCAATGCTAATATAACTTCAGTATGATTTTATTTATTTTTATGTGTATATTAACTTATTTTGGAAAAATACAGTACGTTCACTTGGTAATGATAATCTGGGTTTAGAAGCTCTGCATATTGTCTAGCTGCTCATGATACTCTGATCATACACTCCTTTGGAAAATTCAGCAGCTTTGAAAGAACCTATTTCTTTTTTTTTTTTTCCCCAATTCTGTATCCTCTGAAATATTTCAGGAAACCCTGACTTTTGTGCAGTGATCTGCTCTGCATATATGCAGTCTTCTGAACAAAAGTTCTGCACATATATATTCTAATTTTTAGGTATGTCTTGAGAGTAGAATCTGTCTTTTCTGGTTGGGGA